TCAGAACTGAGGAAGGGTCACCGGACCCGAAACGTTAACCCTGTTTTCTCCTCCACAGATGCTGCCAGACCTGCTGAGCTTTTCCAGTAACTTCGTTTTTGTTCCAATCAGTTTAATGTCTGTCATTGGAAATTGTTAGAATCATTAACAAAGTAATAACAGGACTTGTTTGAAATATCAAAATGTAATCCATCAGAGTCAGCATGGTTTTATGAACAGTAAGCCATGTTTGACTAATTTGCTAGAGTCCTTTGAAGATGTAACAAGCAAAGTGGGTGACGGATTCCTGTAGATTTAGTATAGTTGGACTTCTAGAAACCATTTCACAAGGTGCTGCACAAAAGGTTAACACATAAGGTATGATCACATGGGGTTTGAGGTAATTTATTAACTTGGATTAGGAGGAAGATTTGCTGACCAACAGAAAACAGGTAGTTGGTATAAATGGGTATTTTTCTGTACTGCAAAATGTGACCAGTGGGGTGTCATGAGGTTTAGTCCACAGTCACCAACTATTTACAATCTATACTAATGATTTGGATGCAGGGATAGAAGGTAAGACCATCAAATTTGCAGATGACACTAAAATAGCTGGGAAAGTAAGCTGCAATAAAGAAACGAGAAATTTACAAATGGGTACTTATAGGTTAGGTAAATGGGCCAAAATTGACAATCTTGGTCAAAAGAATAAAAAGGCAACTCATTATCTAAATACAAACTTTGGCACAGAGAGATCTGTGCCCTCATGTTTGAATCGCAGAAAACTAGTATGCAGGTACAGCTGGTAATAAGGAAGGCTAATGGAAGTTTGGCATTTATTCCTAAAAGAATAGTGTATAAAAGTAGGGAAGTGCTGCTACGACTGTACAAGGCATTAGTGAGACTGCACCTGAAGTACCGCATACAATTTTGGTCCCCTTATTTGAGGAGGGATGGAGTTGCATTTCAAGTTGTTCAGAGGACGTTCATAGATTGATTCCAGAGATGAGGGTTTTGTTTTATACGTGTTGCTGAACAAAATTAAGAAGATTAATGTAAAATAAAGAATTATGCAGGATAAAACATTTTCTAAAGGTTATTGATACCAATGCATCTTTTCCTTTGGGTCAATGCAGCCTCAATGAAAAAGAATACATTCTTCAAATTTGTGACTAACTACATCATTTATAATTGATGGATATAACTTCCATGTGACTGCATCTAACCACATATACAGGAAAATGGTGCTCACAGTTTGGGCTTTTGTGATCTACAACTTTGTATTCATATTCCAAAATAACATCTATAGCATTAACTTTTTTTTAAACATATCAGTACTCATGAGCCCACTTCACAGCCAGTGCCAATGATTTCAGTAAAAATAAAAGTGGTAGGACCCCTTCCAGGAAGTACCTTAGTGAAACAGTTGGACTTTAAAACATTCTGGACACTTTTTTTGGTCAGATTTCCTGGCGGTTTCCTACAAATTCATAGATCTATTTAATGTACTAATTTATTGTGGTGAAAAAACAACTCAAATCTTTGGATAGCTACACAAATGATACAAATACGTCTTTACCATAGAATATTAATCAAAGTATCTATAATGTTGATCTGGTGGGAAAAATCTTGCCTTTTGTGGCATTAAATGACAGAGATCGTGACTGACTAAGTTTGATTGTCATATAATACTGAGATAGTTGATCACAATTTTGTTGAGACTTGATCTCAGTGCTGCTGGCTATAAGGAGAAATAAATAATATAGATTTTCAAGAAAAGATAAAAACTGCCTGAATTATGCAATGTGCATAATATCAATAAAAGCAGCATTTGAAAAAAACAACAGCAAAATATACTGTTCAACAACTGCAAAAATAACATGCGTAAGCAGAATATTCATCTTACCTTAACTGCTAATATTTTTCCACTTGGAACATGGTAAGCTCTGTGTGGATATAAAGTACAGGCACTGAGTTATCCACATACCAAAGCAATGCAAGAAAGACAAGTTATGAATGTCAAGGGACACCTTAATATTTTTACATTCAGCACATTTACATCAAACAATTTATGCGCTAAACTTGAAGATTGGGTTCAAAATAGATCTTTTGTTAAATAAAACCTGATTCCATTTTCTCTGCTGTGCAGCCCTCAAGTCTCAAACCATGGATTTGGCAGCTAAGCAACTGTACATCTTTCTTTGGCAGTCCATATTCTTGACCTCCCCCAACCAACGTTTCTAATGATGATGAAGAATAGATCATTCCGCAACCAAATACTACAGTTACATCCCACTAATAAGTATGTTGACTGAACACAAAATCGCAAATCAATGACCTGACATTGGAATAGTTGAGGGAACTTGGAAACAATTGCTGGTAGAGCCTGAAACTCGTTGGGGTTGATTTTCTGATGTGGTAGGTTGGTGAAATGTTTGTGTCCACTTGTCCTGCTGAGTGTTGACCTTTATGAATCTTCCAGGGTCATGGTTATTTACCTTGTGTTGGCAGGCGGCTGCTAGTTCTTCCCAGATGGATCAGCTGACTCAGGTGAGAGTTAGAGAAAAATTGCTGCACATTTGCCATGATGCCAACCCAATTGAAGAAAGGAACTTATTCAAAATTTCCTAACTTGGATAAAAAAAAATTTGACTGACTGCACCAGATGTCAAATTGTTACTTTATAAACATCCTCACCTGAGTAATACTGAATACAAAGAACATACCTGCATTCTTGATATGTAAGTTAATAATGGGAAATCAATTCTTTAATTCGGATGTAAGCATTCGACATAGGCCATCATTTCCAGCAGAAAAGCTCTTCACCCATCTCTCAACACTGATCATCTTTACATTTTACCTCCTACTGAGTTGCTCAGTATACAAGTGTTACCAACTAACTGATTCTTTTTTTAAGTGGAGCAAAAATTTATGTTGCCACTTTAGTGTAACTAATTAGACTACACTGACTTCACCACGTAAATGTTGGTCAATGCATCATAATATGACATTTATAGAACAAAATCATGCTACTGTACAGAAAACAATCCTTACTGGAGGCTCTGGCCAGCAAGTTCTAAACGCAGAACTACAACAATAGACGTTTAATGTTATGGTAGCTAGTATAAATTTAAAATTATATGAAAACATATGAAAAAAATGGAATATGAATACAAATTATAGCAGAATTGATAAGTTTAAAAGCTCTCTTATAGAAAGGTAAATTATTACCGAAGAAAAATTAAACAACAGAAACATAAATGTACATAAATCAATTGAAAAAGAGTAAGAATAGATTAAGAAACTTGGCAACACAATGCATGTTTACAATTGATTCTACACATGGCACAGAGAGAAGGGGAGATAATGACTGAGTACCCAATTACTTCTTGCATATTGCAGCATTCTAGCTAAATTGCACAAAAACTTGCTAGTCATATTGTTGGGTAAAAGTCAACCCAGTTAAACACAATTTACGAACTTTAGGTGAGGAATGGTATGGTAAAGAATACAGTATTTTCTGTTGATTGAATGCACTGTATTTTTACAACAGAAATACCATAGTTTTGATGTAAAATAACGGATCCTTCTACACTGCCTCAAGTACACCACGACCAGTGACATTTCAAGTTTTCATACTAGTCATCCTAACAGCCTATCTAACAAGCAACTTAAACCAGTAAGTCTCCACAAAGTATCCTGATTGACCTTTAACACTGTTACTTCAAATGTCACAAGTAAATACTCAACCACACTGCTCTAGATATGACAATATAAGAATAGGGTTACTTGCATTCAGTGCTGGCAATGTAAGTCAGTAACCCAGGAGTCAGACTTAGAAACTGCAAAACTAAAACTTCTGGTCTTTTTTACATGTAAACAAAAGTGAAAGAACTGTTTCCTTACCCATACCGCAAGTCACCAGGATGTTGGGTAATTTTCCAACACAGCCAAACTAATATAAACACATATCCAATTAAAGAACAAAATCCCAATGTACCATATGTATCCACTGCTGTAACAACAAACTGATCAGGCTGTTTTATAACGTAACCCACTTACAGAATTCCCCAAATACCACATCACTTCCTATTCCCCTAATAAAGTCCATTTGAAGTTATAAATGTTTCTGGAGCCCTATTTATACAAGAACCTGCAGCTATTCTTGTTGAAATTGCTCCAGGTCCTGACCAGATTAACTTTAAAGGGTCATAACGTAAAACATGCTGATGACAAAGTATTCATACTATTTCTACTTCAGATCTGCTTGTCGGTTTACGCTGGGGATATCAACCTTAAAACAGTCTTGCCTTAGACAAGAAGGGGTGAATTTTAATACCAGATTTATATTATTGCAGTTTAATTCTGATTAAATTTAGGACAGATTTACAGCAATACAAAGTCTCCAGTGTAAATTGGGACTCTAGGTTAAAGCACCTCAATTTGCTCATTTAATGTACAAAAGCATCAAAAAGCTGTAATATCCAGGTCTAGGTGTGAAATTCCCCACATACTCTATGAGCATATTAGCATTAAACAGGCTTGACCAATGCATTAAATCATTTAACTCAAGAACATTACTTCTGCAATATTTCTATAACCTTGATGTTAACTCTTCATAATCTAACAGCCTATTAACATTTTTCTGTTTTATTTGCAGCTCTAGTTGTACAGTTTAAAGTCACAGATTTAACATTACAGCTTTATATCACAGCCTCCTCATTGGCAAACTTTCCACATTAGGTATAACAAGCAGACCAGCCTTTAAATAGGTTAAAATAGCCTAATTAGAAGAGGCAGTTTCATGATTGTGGCAGTCAGCATTAAAACACATGAAATCCCTTGTCCAAATTAAGTGCTGATTATTGTGGTTAAGAGGTGACTCCAAGCAGATGCATATCAAAAAGAGATTTCAGCACCACGGTTAGTAAGGACCATGGTCAGTGTACATAGATACTTCCCTTGAGCAAGACAAAGGTGAAGTGCGTGCAGCTGAAAGTTTAATTCAAAGTGGGAATTCGGTGCTGAAGGAGACAGAGGTGCTTTAACTAAGGTTTACTACATGAAGTAAACTCTCCAGAATGATAGGTGAGTAGAAAAGGATAAAAGGCATCAATTGAGGGGCCTACCTGCAGTGAGACCAGTGACAGGGTGACATCATGAACCACAATATAACACAAGTATAGGTAAAACAGCTGATTGATAAGTGGGATTGGTGAATACTTCTCGTCTTTAAAGTAAAAGGAAAATCTTCAGTTTCTTTTTAGCTTCTGAACTATTGTCTTCCCTCTTATGTTAAAAATAACTTACTGCTGTCCGCAACCTCATACTGCTCTCTGCCACTACACCCCACTCCCACCAATGCTTGTGGTCTGACACCTCCTCTGTTGCATGAAATGTACTCCCTCACTCACTCTTGTTACACTCCACTCTCCAACACCACTAAACCCACATGCCTTCTGTGCTCCATCCTCACTTCCTTGGAATACCTCAACACCTATCCTCCACATGCACTAGTCCTAACAGTGTGCATCTTACTCATTCAACATTTTTATGTCATTATGGGTGAAGAGACTCCATAACAGATCAGAGTGACAGAACAGATGGAAAGGTACAGATATTTGTGACTTCACCACTCTGAAGAAAGGACACTTGCCCTAGCAGGAGAAGACAGGGGCTGCTTTTGCGGGGATATGGAGGGATCCAGGTTCCAACAGCCAATTAAGTAACACTTGTTATCTCACTGCAATAGTTGCATTAACCAAGAGTTGGACACCACCACTAACCAGTGGCTGCAGTGCCTTCTGCCTCTTACATTTTACAAGTGCGCCTATTCAACCAAGGACCAGCCCAAAAAGGAAAGTTCCTCGACATTCCCAGATGATAGCTCCTCCAATCTGTTTGTACTATCATTTACACTGATTCCTGGAACCCCCTAGCAGCACAGCTGAGGACATCTCAGTGGGTTCTGTAAGGGTGCACTGAAAGTTCCACACACTCATCTACAGAGCTGTTAGTAAGGGATAAATGCATCACTGGCTGTTGGAGGACTGCTGGGAACTGGTATGTGCTAATCCCCCAACTGCAGATGACCCTGTGAGCGTGGCAGCAAAGAACTTAATTCAGATGCACAGGGAAGATGAGAAGTGGCAACAGGCATACGAGAGACACTGACCATTATAGCAGAAAAACTGCAGCGATGCCACCGATTCAGTGACGAACTGCCTGTTATCGTGCAGTGACTGACTGCACATATAGGCCCCTCCTTCACAAGTCTCCTCACATATCCCACCCATTGCACATCCCTACACAGCTGTTATCCTCAACACTGTCCTCTGCCAATGGCATCCAGCCTCAACATTCACATGTTGCTGAGACCCCCAAAATCAACGTCTCCTTTCTAGGTGCCAACTTCACCAACCCTGCAGATTTCACAGTTCAGCATTTCATCACCCAAACCGTGTACATGCAATTACGACTGCCTACCTGTTCCTTCAGTCCCCCAGTTCCCCTTCTCCCTTAATTTCAGCAGAGACAATGGGACATCTGTAGCCCGCCCCTTCAAGTAACATGACCAGCAGCATTCACCTGTCCACACCCTGGTTGGTAGACAAATGACCCTAAGTGCAACAGTCCTCTCACCCGGTCCGACAGGTATGGAGACAAAGGACTGACTGTGATGTCCTTCCTCAAGCACATAGGCATGGTGCCCAAGAACTTAAGAGCAGATTACTCCCTGAAGACTAAAGGCATGTTCCACTACCTGCTGTAGATGCCATGTGTTTGGCATGATGACTGAAGACACATGGTATAGTCTAACATGCTACACTGATGCAAGACAAGATGCACCCGACTTTGACTGAGGACAGCTGCAAAGTACGGCCACCTGTGCAGTTGTGGAACTGCGATAATTGCTATTGCAAGGCACAGCAGGGCAAGGAATAGC